ATACTCTTAACCACTGAGCCATCTCTCCAGCCCCTGCAATCTTTTATTTATAACTACATAAGAAAATCAGGCCTCAAGTGGTAGCATATCCCTTTAATCCCAGCACTCAGGATGCAGAGAATCTTTGAGTTCAAGGTCATCCTGGCCTTCACATTGCGTTCTGGAGCAGCCAGGACTATATAGTCTCAACTCTGTCCCAAAAAACATAAAGGAATTAAAAAACAACAACAACAAAAAAAAAAAACAGATAAAATTTAGGCTTTTTTTTCCAAACCAAAACTCATCAGTATAGGAACTCCTAAAGACTGTAAACTAATGCATTAATTCTATACCCTTAAAGGCAGCAGTATGCAATATGAGAGAAAAAGTTAAGTGACTTCACACTCTCAACCCATCTACATCTAATAGATAAGATACTTTAAAAATATACAAATGCGAGGCCAGCCTGGTCTACAGAACAAAGTTCCAGAACAGGCTCCAAAGCTACAGAGAAACCCCGTCTCAAAAAACCAAAAAAAAAAAAAAAAAAAAGAAAGAAAGAAAGAAAGAAGAAGAAAAACATACAAATGCACGACATAGTTTTTTTTAATAAGATCAGTTTTGTAGGAAAAGTCATTTCCAGCAGTAATAAATGGGGAAGCAACTGAGTCTTTAAAATAAAACAATATTGTTTTACCAACATAAATACCAGCAAGATGGCTCAATGGGTAAAGATGTTTACTGCCAACCCAACAACCTGAGTGCAATCTCCAGGGTTCAAGAAGCAGAAGGAAAGAGCCTGCTCCTGCAAGTTATCCTCTGACCTTCACAGTTGCCAATTCACGACTCACATAGGGATGGTTCAGTAGTTAACAGCATTGGTTGCTCTACCAGAGGACCAGGGTGTTCAGTTCCTAGCGCCCACATGGTTGCTCACAATCATCAACAATTCCAGTTCCGGGGAATCTTATGCCCTCTTCTGACTCCGTGGGCACACATGTAGTACATAAACATGCATTCATGCAAAACACTGACACATTTAAAATAATCTTTTTTAATTATAAAAATAAATAACGTAATTCTGCTTCTGAAAACCTAGTTACAGATCTTAAAATAAAATTTCAGTAGTGTAGTCTCAAAATCTACCAAAAAAACATTTTTAATTGTTTAGGAGAGTCTTGAAGTTTATCATAGCTAATGCTATGGAAGAAGGATAACTACAACCCAGACCAGGAGGCACAAGCCTGTCGCCTGCCTATTCTCAGGGTGCTAAAGCAGGAGGAACTCAACTTCAAAGCCAGCCTAGTCCACATAATGACAGAGAAAGTAAAAGTAACAAGAGGGCTGGAGATATGGCTCAGTGGTAGAGCACTTGCTTAATGTTTGAAGCCCTGGGATCCACTTTCCTGGTACCAAGGAGACAAAGATTGCACATGCTAACACCTAGTGTTCTTTCTACAATTAAAGTGTGTCATCTGAGCACTGAAAAGTTTAGCAAGGAAATGAACTCAAAACAGGTCACAGAAGGCCAAGCATTATTCTAAACATAACTTGAAGGTTTAAACACATGGCAAGACAAAAAATAATACTAATTTAAATCCTTTAAAAATCTACTTTAACCAGCAGCCACAGTAGCTGACGTGTTCTTACAATGCACCATACTGTCTTAGTGTATACCCTGTGTATACACTGAACCCAGTCAAATGACTGGAAGAAGCCCATGCAATTTCACCATCTATAGTTTAGGGCTTGATGAACTGACTTATAGAAGTGGTAAAGTGGCGGAGCCCAGGCACAAGGTAGATTGTCTACAGATAAAACTTGAATTCTCCTTTCTAGTCAGGTGAGGCATACACCTATAATACCAGCCCCGGGAAGACAGAGACAGAAGGACTTCCAATTCAAGACCAGCCTGCGCTACACACAAGCAAGTCTGAAGCCGGCCTGTGTACTGGTAGGGAACACAAGACCCCGTTTCAAAATAAATCAATAGATAGACAGGTAGAGCAATAAATAACTTGCTGCCTCTCTATACTAACTTCATCCATCTAGAATGGAACTTTGAAACAACTAAAGCTGTAATTTTCACACCATTTCAGCATCTAAGTAGAGCAAAAACCCAGAGCCTTACATTTAAGTACATAACAACAATCTCCTGAAATGACAAACAAATCGTTTTCAGTATTTTGGTCCAGGTTTTATCCTTTTTCTTCCTAAACTATGCTGAGAAAACATGACGAGGCAGCGCAGACTCTGCTAAAGCTACCTTCCAGGGGTCTTAGTCTGGCAACTGCTTTGGGACTCTAGATCCCAGAGAACATTTCCTTTATTAGCAACGTGCTTTGAGAATTCCATTCTAGGATGCTAAATATATCAAAATACCTCCTGACCTTTATAAACACATTCTCCAGATTATTTTGATAGTGGTGATTGTCTATTAACAAGACAGATTTGCAAACACAGTTTAGCAACTGCAGCATTTAGAGAAATCTTTCAAGATTGCCCCTTAAAAAACTGATCTGAAAACTGTTCTTTGGATTCTTGAAATATGAAGTAACAGAGTTCAAATTTCACAATTCGTTTCCTTAAAAAGGCACAGACACATAAATAAAAACAAATCTTTTTTAATTTTTTAAGCCAGGCAGTGGTGGTGCATGCCTCCAATCCCAGCACTCCAGAGGCAAAGGCAGGTGGATTTCTGTGAGTTCAAGATCAGTCTGGTCTACAAAGCAAGTTCCAGGACATCCTTTTACAAAGAGAAACTGTGTCTCAAAAAAAAAAAAAAAAAAAAAAATTCACTACATATATTATTCATCAAAAGAAAATAATGTATCTTTAAATGTTTCCTAATGTACTTTTTATTAGAAATATTTTTTATTTTTAAAATCCCATTTTATTCTATTAAAATAATTTTTTATATATTTTATTTTATTAAAAAAATCCCATTATGATTTAGATATAATAAACAATCATTACCCTGCATGAGCTAATTGCCTACAACAATCTTTTGAACAGAATGCATAACTGCTATATTTTAGGGAGCATACATCTAGCAGACCTCACAACCACAAGCCTCCTCCATGACACACGCGCTTTAAAAGCACTTATAATTACTAAGGCTGGACAGCTCCTCAGACCTTCTCTATGTAAAATATGGATGTGAATGGAAGAATTCAATAATGCTTGGGGAATGGAGCCAAAAAGCTGGGCAGTGAGTGTAGAAACTGCTTCACCCGCTAACGTCACGGACGTTTTATCTTATCTAGTTATTATAGTTAAGGGGGGGGGGGGGTTGCTGTAGTCCACCAGATTAGGCTCCCCACTCCACCCCCCAAAAAAACAAAGTTTCTCTATATAGCCCTGGCTGTCCTGGAATTTGCTCCATAGACCAAGCTGGTCTCACTCAGAGGACTCAAGAGATCCACCTGCCTCTGCCTTTGCTGGGGCCTAAAGGTGCAGCACAACACTCCACCCCTCTAGGCCTTCTTCTCCCACTTCTCCTACCTCCTGGGTCCAGAACCTCCACTAACTAGACAGGGGCTCACAGGGTAGCCTTCAAACTCACCAGCGAGGATCCAGGGCCAATCTACCATACTCAAGAGGGAGGATTAGAGATTTGTAAATTCTGTCTGCAAGACACTCGGAAATCTGGACCTAACTTTCTCCAAAGGGATAGAGCTCTCCTCTGCTGACCACACTGTCTACAGTAGTAACAAAGTTATCGACGCCCTTTATCTTTCATCTGAAACATTCTTCCTGGTAAAATTGCTGTTGGTGTACTGTCACTAAAGCTTATGCCTATTTCCTTCCTGATGTCCTCTCTAACCACTTTAAACACAGTCAAAAGATACAAGCTGGCTGGATGGTTCATGCCTTTAACTCTAGCACAGGTAGGCAGAGATGGATGACGTCCAAGCCAGCAAGCAGGGCTTCATGGAGAGATTCTGTCTAAAACCAAACAAAAGTTCAGAGGAAAAATGTAGGCTTGATGTAAAAAAAAAAAAAAAAAAAAAAAAAAAACGGAAAGGGGAGGTGATACTAAGCTGGGAATGATGGTCCACACCTTTCATTCCAGCACTTGGAAGGCAGGATCTCTAGGTTCAAGCCCAGACTGATCTATTAAGCGAGTTCCAGGCCAGCCAGGGCTACGACACCAAGAAAGCCTATCTCGGACAAACAAAAAGATATTAAACCTTGTCAACTATTAATCAGAGGAGACGCGGCAGATGCTGCAATATCGAACACAGGCTAGAAACCGTCAGAAGAACCCTTATTTCCGTATCAGCTTGTGGGCCTAAGAAAGCATCTCCATCATTCTGGTCCAGGACCCCTCAGTCTGTTCTACACATCACCGATCCTGACCACTGCTAAGCTGAAAAGCGCAAGGCCACACAACGTCCACAGTAACATAAGCACTCTCCACCTTTCCCAACTTCTCCACACAAACCTTGCACTTTCAAAGGAACGCTCCCCACATTGGTTGTGTCCCTGCCAAAATGGCCTCCTCCTTACCTTCCTCCTTTACCCCATCAATGCCCACACTTGGCGCAGTAAACAAACCCACCATTGGGAGCACACACCTGCTCATTAACTGGACGGCACACCGCGTGAATCAAGACGCCTCCCGGATAGACCCCAACAGATTTAATGTTTTAATCATGTTCAAAATAGGATTTTAATCTCCCAGGGAACAAATGCTATGGCCTGAGTCTCCCCCACTCCCCAGTTAACGACAGCATTTTTAAAGCGAGCGGTGAGCCTACATCGCACTCACCGGGCCCCAAGCAAGGTCTGTGGGGTGTCCAGTCTCCACACCGGGAAGGCCTAGGAAAAGCGTGGGCCCCACCCCCCCCACCCCAGGGCTCACGCGCTACTCCCCGCGCCCGCGGACGGCTACCCCACGAGCGAAGGACGCCCGCCGACCCTCTGCGCAGCCCAGGCCCGGTGCCGAGGGCGGCTACAAAGGTCAGATGACTAGAATGCCGGCGACCCCCGCCCACCGCACTCAACGACGCCTCTACCTTGTCCTCCGGCGGTGCGTCCTCGCGGACAGTCCTCTGCCGTAGCTCGGTCATGCTGGGGACCAAGGCGCGACGTCACCCAGGACGAGCAGCGCGGTGGCCGCGGAGGTCGACTCAGCGCGCACGGCCTCTCCGCGGGCCCGAGCGCCTCGCAGCCCCGCAATGCCTCGCAGCCCCACAATACCTCGCACAGTTCCTGCAGCCGCGCCGCTAGCCTCGAGCCCGGCCCCGCCCAGCACCGCCGCTGCCGCCGCCCTTACCCGGAGAGCGGAGCCGCTGCCTCCTGGAGGCCGCTCGCTCCTCCTCCCGGGAAGCTGTGAGCCAGCGCGCACGCGCACCGCCGCCATCTCGGCCCCGGGAGCCTAGACGCTAGGGGGCGGGGCAGCGGGAAGGAAGGGGGTGGGTACGAGGAGAAGATGAAGGAGCTCATTGGACAGGACAGGGAGGGGCGGGATAAGGGAGCAAAACGAAGCAATGGGCGCTTGCGTCCTACCGCGTGTGCCCGCGCAGGATGTAACCCGTTACTGGGAGACGACAGCGCCCCCCGGCGGTCTAAACTAGCCATCACTTGCTGCTCTCGGCCTGGAGTCCAAATGGAGAGACCAGGTGGACCTCTGAGCAGAGGGCTTCATAGCAGAGGTGAAACCCAAACTTAAGCGCAGGTTGCCTTGTCAAGCCGTGCTTAGTAAATTAGTGAGCATTGATTCTGTCTAGGCACAGAGCTCAGAAATCGCTTTGGCTAGTTTGTCTCGTTCAAATCATATGCCTTTTTTCTTCCCAGCACAAGTGAAGAGACAAGTGGATCTGATCTATGTAGCCTGCACCAGGGCTACACAATGAGACCCTGCCAAAGGAAAAAAAAAAAAAAAAAGACAAGACAAGACAAGCCCCGCCTACTGCCTTCCATGTTCACCACAGAGGCAGGCGGGTCTTTCTTCAGCTTCCAGTCTGAGAGGCTCTCCTTTTCCTTTCTTCCAAAGAGGTAGCTACTGCTGTGGCTCCTCTCCTCTCTGTGTGCATGTGTGTTTATAAATGTGTGTATCTGTGTGTATGTATGCCTCTGTCCCCCCCCCCCCTCTCTCTCTTCCCCGTCTCCCTCTCCCCTTCCCTTCCATAACCCACTAAATAAATAAATACCCACTTTCTCTGCATGCCGTGCCTATCCCTCTCGGTCTCTCACCCACCATGCTACTCCCTGCCTGGGATCCACTGCCACTCATGGCCCGTGGGCCACTCAGGGGCTCCCTGCCGGGGACCAGCTGCCTTCAGGGACCTGCGGAATGGTCTCGTGCCCACTGCCCACTGCTGCCACACGAGGAAACAGCACCGTTTTACTTAACCATTACACAAAGTATTACAAATTTCTTGTCTTAAGTCTATGTCTTGTTTGTGCTGAAGACAGAATTCAGGCCAGCTTATGTTAACATATTCTACGAGTAAGCTACTCCCATAATTGATTTTTGGAATGTTACTATGGCTCCCCTACATGCCTGACATAGCCTAAGCAGTTGATGAATGGATTTTAAACCTGTATTTAGCTGGAAGCTACAAAATAGTAAGAATTAAAACCCAGTGTATTGGGAGCTGGAGAAATGGCTCAGTGGTTAAGAGCACTGCCTGTTCTTCCAAAGGTCCTGAGTTCAATTCCCAGCAACCACGTGGTGGCTCACAACCATCCATAAGGAGATCTGGTGCCCTCTTCTGGCCTGGAGGCACACATGCAGACAGAATACTGACAATACTGTATACATAATAAATAAATAAATCTTAAAAAAAAAAACCCAGTGTATTACCAAAATCACACTGTAGTCACTGTTCCCATTAGCTGCCCCAACTCAGTAACACTAGTATTGCTCCAGCGTTGCCCTGGTGAAAATCGGGGGCTCCCAGCCCTAAAACATATTGTAATCTAACAGTAAGAGGTCTTTGCAACAGGGAGGTACAGTTTCTTCTTAGCAATTTCAATCTGAGTTGTGAGTTTTCAGAAAGTATCTGAAAAAGACAAATAAATAAATGATACTGGTCTCTGAGTATATTTCAATTCCTGTTAAAAATGATTCAAGTGGGGCTGGAGAGATGGCTCAGATTAAGAGCACTGACTGCTCTTCCAGAGGTCCTGAGTTCAAATCCCAGCAACCACATGGTGGCTCACAACCATCTGTAATGAGATCTGGTGCCCTCTTCTGGCCTGCAGGCATACATGGAGGCTGAAAACTGTGTATATAATAAATAAATAAATAATCTTTAAAAAAAATGACTCAAGTGAGCCAGGCAGTGGTGGCACATACCTTTAATCCCAGGACTTGGGAGGCAGAGGCAGGCAGATCTCAAGTGAGTTTATAGGCCAGCCTGGTCTACAGAGTGAGGTCCAGGACAGCTAGGTCTGTTATACAGAGAAACCCTGTCTAGAAAGAAGAAGGGGTAGGGGAGGAGGAGGAAGAGGAAGAAGAATGGAGCCAAAGTGGCAGTATAACACTTAGACAAACTTCAGAAGCTCTGAACGATGAATTTTGTTTCCTTTTTAACAACTTTGCACAAATACTTAGGTGCTCTTGCTGCTCAGCTGGCTGTTGTTTTTGTTGGGTTTGGGGTTTTGTTTTCTTTTATCAGATAAAAAGTACCACTGCCGTCAGACCACAAAAGCTGCTCTTTCTTGTCTCTAAAAATAAGCATACCGATGATAATTTTAAAACGCTTGTAAATGCTTCGAAGTCTGTGTTGGACCAACACCATTTGTCACTGCTTTATCTATCAAAGCATCTAAAGGATTTAGAGCATCAGTTCAGAGCGACCGCATCTTTGGGACAAATAAAGGTTACTATCCAGATGCTCTCCTTTTGGGTACCAATCATGTAGTTGAAGGGTGTTTCATTGGTCTGTACAAATGAAAGTTGCTGTATTTCAAGCCCAGTCAAATATAAGAGGCTAGAGGGCTGGGATGTAGCTCAGTTGGTAGAGTGCTTGCATGGCACCCACACAGCTGGGGTTCAGTCCCCAGCATCCCACAAACTGGGTGTGATGAGGGTACACATCTGTAATACCAGTATGAGAAAGGTAGAGACAGGAGAATCAAAAGTCTGAAGACATCTTCCTCTATATAATGAGTTCAAGTCCAGTCTAGAATACATGAGATACCCTGTCTCAAAAACCAAAATACAGGGCTAGAGATGGCTCAAAGGTTAAGAGCACTTGTTGCTCTTGCAGAGGTTTGGCTCTCAGCGCTCACATGGCAGGCCACAATGTCTTTGACTCCAGACCTAGGACATACAATATCCTCTTCCTGCCTCTGACAGCACCAGTTGCACACATAGTACACAAACATACATGGAGATAGAATACCCATACACATCAAATAAAATAAACCAAGACCTGGAAACCAATTAATAGAAGTCAGAGTTATGGAATTATGAAACATGTATTCAACTAGATAATGCCTTAGAATTTGACCTGAACAAAGTTCTCAATTAGCATCATCAGACCTATCCGGATCACACCAAGTAGTGAATTGAACTGGTTAACTGAACTCACACCTAAAATCAGCATTGTGGGGAGCAAGAATTCATTACTCAGACAGTTCTAGAAGTCATGCTAATAGCACTTTATGTCAGTTTTAATACCTTTCTTTCGATTGCACAAAAAATCAAAAGGAAAAAAATCTTCCTCTTCCTCACACCTTCAATCCTTCAATCCCAGCACTTGGGAGGCAGAGGCAGCCTGGTCTACAGAATGAGTTCCAAGACAGTCAGTGCTGCATAGGAAAACCCCATCTAGAAAAACTTAAAAAAAAAAAAAAAAAAAAAAAGTCTCATCTATCCCCAGGCAAAGAATTTGCTTCCTTCACGTTGTCTTATGCCTCCTCAATTCCTGATTTCTTTTTTTTTTTTCCTGCTCACTAGTCTTCCCTCTGTCTTAGCTGAGCTTTTTATTGCTGTGAAGAGACACCATGACCACAGCAACTCCCTCTTTTTTTGTTTTGTTTCTTTTTGTTTTTTGAAACAGGGTTTCTTTGTAGCTTTGGAGCCTGTCCTGGTGTGAGCCACCACTGACTGGCAGGAATATTAGTTTTAAAAGTCATGTCATTCTTCATGTCTTATGGAATATTTGTTTAGAAAAACACAAGCAAGATCTCATAAGAATTTATCAAAGTATTTTTCTTACTGAATTTACATTCATTTGAACTTAAATTTGACAGCCCCCCCCCACTATTCTCATTTTTGTTTTTTGGTTTTTTTTTGGGGGGGGGGCAGGGCAAGGTTTCATGTAGCTCAGGCTGGCTGCAAACTTGTCACGTAGCCAGGGATGCCCTCAAACTCCTGGTCCTCTTTGGCTTTGGACAGTAGGAGTGATCTTCTACTCAATGATAAAGAGTTCTTACACCATTTTCTGGCTAGATCTCCAAGAGAGGAAAAGCAAAAACAAACAAGACTGACCTAAAGAGAAATGCTATAAACAAGAAAAAGATACGTATACAAGATACCTGATTAATACTATCATATGTAAAATATTCCTTTTCTCCCCTTTGTGTCAGTCTTGGTAGATGGTCAAAGCCAACATTAAAATCCATTACCACCCACCCTCAGTCTTCCCGTGTGCTGGAATTACAGTTGTAAACCATTCTTATCAGCTAAAATATTAAAGTTTTTAAAATTTTATAAGCCTTATTATTTTAAAAACTTGCAAATAAATAAAAACATCACACACCAAAACTCTATAACAACTCAATGAATTTCTATAGTTAGAAGAGGCATTTGAAATAGCTGTGGCGTTTCACACTAACATTTTACACTAAGCATCAAATATATTTTATCCATCACCAAAAATAAAAAACATTAGAAATAGAAAAACAATTAGCTTTACATCCGTTTGTAGCTGGTGCCTATGACCTGCATTCAGTTTTCCTCACCCTTATAATCAATAGGAAAAAGAAATTTCAGTAGAACAAAATGCAGAGCCCAGGAACAGTGAAAGACGCTCCACCTGTAATAGCTGACGGACGTTTTCCCGAATGGGAACAGATTTTAAAATGAGATTATTGGTGCTTAGCGTCTAGCTCAAAGAGTTTTGTCAAGATCTTGGGTTCATCCCCGGCTTAGATAAGGTTCAGGCTGGGTTCATCTCCAGCCTCAAATTAAGATGAAAGCACTAACACCTACAGTTAGGAAAATACGAGAAACGGGCACTACAACAAACCAATCAAGTAGGTGGCACCTGTGGGTTATATATTTGAGAGATAGTGATACTTTGTGGTTCTTTGCAGAAGTGTTCACGGTAAGAAGGTATTCTTTAATCTATAGGGAGAAAGTTCCGAGCGACGCACACAGTGAAGTGTTATGAAATCGGGG